GTTTAGTGTTTAGGGTTTCGGGGTTTAGGGTTTAGGAAGGATCCCTTTTGGGGGGTCCTTTTTATAGGGGTGAACCCTAAAACCCTAAACCCTGAACCCTAAACCCTAAACCCTTTAAAGAACTACATAGGTTTGGGGCTCTCAAGGTGCTGAAGGCCTCTGGCCGGTCCCCGGGGGTTTTAAGGCTTAGGGTTTCGGTTAAGGGTTTAGGGTTGAGGGTTGAGGGTTGAGGGTTGAAGGTTTAGGGTTTAGGGTTTTTTTTTGAAAAAAAGTGTTATGGGACTTTCACTCCGCGAGCTCAGTCTCAGCCCACTGGGCCAAACACTACATCTTCCCAGCTTCTGTACAGCCAGGTTAACAGCTTACACCCGCAATCCAGCATTTGCCTTAGTGCAGCTGTCACTTTTTTTTTTTGGTAGCCATACTTCTGGGGATGGGTCCCCTGACCAGGACATCTGCCAGTCTTGCTGTCAAAGCCAAAGATACAACCCCCAAGCTTGGAGGTGCGCAAAATGTGTTCTTGAATGAACAGATTGTTTCGGCATTCAAGAACCTTGCCGGGGCACCTCCGACGCCTTTCAAAGAAGGTGCCATGCAGGAGTACAAATGAGATTGCGGGACCTTCATTGCGATGGAGTTCATCAGCTCGAACTCGTTTTGTGTAGGCCTTGTAACCTGATTGGCTGGAAGTTGCAATTCGTTTACCAGGTATCTGTAGTGTTTCGCATTGAAGGCCTGTCCCTGCGAGAGGCTCAGGAAAGCAGTCATGAGCATCGCCATAGAGATTCTCTGAAGTTCTTCCATGCTTGCCAATCCACTGGCTCGCAAAGGGTTTAGGGTTTAGGGTTTAAGGTTTAGGGTTTAGGGTTTAGGGTTTAGGGTTCAGGGTTGAGGGTTTAGGGGTTAGGGTTTCGGGTTCTGCTTTAGGGCGAAGCGGGCTTGGAAGTGGCCAGGGGGAAGCCGCATAAACTCGATTTCATATATGGGTTCTTTTTAAGGAACAGGTATACAACAAACCAACATTGAAGTATGGCACTTCAGAACCCAGCGAAGTGTATCCTAGAAGCCTAAATCCTAAACCCTAAATCGGTTCAATTGAGGGCTCCGCTGGTCTGCGCTTAAGGACGAAACTGCCCCACAAGAGCTTAAGGTTCAACGGTTTAGGGTATAGGGTTTAGGGTTTAGGGTTCAACTAGCCAGACAGGGATTCATGGTCTAAGGAGAGTCGAACTTACTTCCCCAATAAGCCAGGGAAATCAAAGGTTAAACTTTCAGAATACTACTAAGCTAAACCCTAAACCCTAAACCCTAAACGCCAAAGCCCTAAGAACCCAAAAAAATATAAAGGTTGGGTATTGCAGCACTAAGCCATATAGAGATTCATGGTCTAAGGGTGTGTAAAGGGGCGCCTCAATCCTCCCCGGGAGTGCCTCCGACATCTTCTTGGCAAAAGAGAAGATGCTGGCCAGCACCTCACACGGCTTAGGGTTTAGGGTTTAGGGTCTAGGGTTTGACTCTAAACCCTAAACCCTGAACTCATGCGTCCTTGTTGATGTTTCGGAAATCTTCGGTGGCGCATCTTCGGCTGTACAGGTTTTTCGGTGAAGGTAGACCCGGCAACCTGAGAACCAAACCCTGTAATGTAGGGGCCTTAACAATTAGAATAGGGTTTCGGTAAAAAATATACTATGACTATGATGAGGAGCCCCCGAAATACTGTAGGTAATTATTTAAGCCCCTAATGTAGGAGCCTTAATAATTAGAATAGGATTTTGGCGCCCAGTATACTATAAATGTATTCAGGAACCCCAAAACTTGCGTTGGTAGTGGTTTTCGGCCCATAAACCCTAAACCCTGAACCCCTACACCCTAAACCCCATTTGGTCCCCTACATTAGTCCTTTGAACATCGGACCAGAGCTTCGAAAGATGGGATACAGCGTTCAGCCCTGGGCAAGAACCAGGATAGGAAGTGCAAAAGTAGGGTTCAGGGCTTTAAGGCTTTAGGGTTTCAGGCTTTAGGGCTTTAGGGTTTAAGGCTTTAGGGCTTTAGGGTTTTAGGGTTTAGGACAGTTGTACAACAACTGGACGCGCTCAGACCTTTGCGGTACAGAAACCAGGTTCCTAAACTACATCCTTCAAAACCCTCGAAAACCAAAGCCTTAAGCTTTACGCTGCTCGTCGAAGGCTCTTGGCTGTAAGCCGTACGGGATTGACGACTTGGTCGTGTCAAGGTCAAAGCTCTGAGCCGTAAGGAATGGAGGATTTACGCCTTGTTGAAATCTGGTTCGGGTTACATTTAGCCTAAACCCCGAAACCGCTAAGCCCCTATACGGCACTAAACCATAAACCCCAAACCCTCCTAAACCCTAAACCCCTAAACCCTAAACCCTAGACCCTGTACCCTAAATCATCAACCCCTTAACCCTTAACCCTAAACCCCTAAACCCTAAACCCTAAAACCAGAAACGCTGTAACCTAAACCCTAAACCCGAAGCCCCTAAACCCTAAACCCTGTACCCTAAACCCCTAAACCCTAAACCCTAAACCCTGTACCCTAAATCCTCAAACCCTAAACCCTAAACCCCTAAACCCTAAACCCTAAAACCCTAAACCCCGTACCCTAAACCCTAAACCCTAAGCCCCCAAACCCTAAACCCTGTACCCTAAACCCTAAACCCTAAACCCCTAAACCCTGTACCCTAAACCCTAAACCCTGTACCCTAAATCCTCAACCCCTAAACCCTAAGCCCCTAAACCCTAAACCCGTACCCTAAACCCCTAAACCCTAAACCCTAGACCCTGTACCCTAAATCATCAACCCCTAAACCCTAAACCCCTAAACCCTAAACCCTAAAACCCCCAACCCAAAGCCCTAAACCCTAAACCCTAAGCCCCCAAACCCTAAACCCTGTACCCTAAACCCAAAACCCCTAAACCCTGTACCCTAAACCCTAAACCCTGTACCCTAAATCCTCAACCCCTAAACCCTAAATCCTAAACCCCCAACCCAAAGCCCTAAACACCTCCATTCGTGCGGACCCCGGCCTCCTCGCCCTCCGCTACCATGTCTCCGAGCTTGAATGTCGGCACACCGCGCTCTTCCTAGGCTTAGGGTTTAGGGTTTAGGGTTTAGGGTTTGGGGTTTGGGGTTTAGGGGGTTTGGGGTTTGGCATTTAGGGTTTGGGGTTTAGGGGGTTTGGGGTTTGGGGTTTAGGGTTTCGGGTTTAGGGTTTAGGGTAGGAATGTTCCAGAATCTCATGGGTAGTTCTCTAAATTAGGATCCCTTTTGGGGTCATTTTTTTAAGGGTGCCGTACTATAATGGGGGCCTAAAAAAGGACCCTAGTTTATAGAACTACTCTCATGGCACACCATGTCGACCATACCATACCAATCTGGAGTTTGCAAGGAAAGCCCTGCGCGTGCTATTGAGGCTCCGGTGCTAAACCCTAAACCCTA